GGCTGAAACACAGTCAGACTAGACCCAGCTAATTACCCATTTAGTTCCTACCTTCTCCTGGTCCAGGTTCTGCAGCACCTCTTTCCCAGTCGAAGTCTTGATCTCCACACCAGGGCTGCCCACATCTTGGTCCCCGGGGGACTTGTCCTGTTTGGGTTTTTCTTGGGGTTGGTTAGTTGCCCCTGGACGAGTAGCGGTGCTCTTCCTGCCCCCTCTCTGCCCCACAGATAGAGAGTCGAAATCTATAGTCTTGCTCTCAAATGCTCCTTCCACATTGCTGAACAAGCCCCCATACTTCACCCGAGGCACCTGGTCAGTTGTTCCCGGACGAGCTAGGTAGAAAGGCAGATCGTCTTCCTTGTCCCATCCCCTATTGCCTGATGCCATTGCTGAGACACACACAGAGGGAGAGCTGGAGCTGAGCACAGACCGGAGAGCTGGGAGCTGACACAGGACACAGAGCGATGCCGGTCACAGCCAGAGGGGGCAGTGCTGCGCCTGATCTATGAGCTCAATGACACGAACACACACTCCCCATCACTGGCAGCAGTCACAATGACACCCTCCCCATCACTGGCAGCAGTCACAGTGACACCCTCCCCATCACTGGCAGCAAACACAGGGACACCCTCCCCATCACTGGCAGCAAACACAGGGACACCCTCCCCATCACTGGCAGCACTCGCAGAGACACACTCCCCATCACTGGCAGCAAACACAGGGACACCCTCCCCATCACTGGCAGCACTCACAGGAACACACTCCCCATCACTGGCAGCACTCACAGGGACACACACCCCATCACTGGCAGCACTCACAGAGACACACTGCCCATCACTGGCAGCACTCACAGAGACACACTGCCCATCACTGGCAGCACTCACAGGAACACACTCCCCATCACTGGCAGCACTCACACTGACACCCTCCCCATCACTGGCAGCACTCACAGAGACACCCTCCCCATCACTGGCAGCACTCACAGAGACACACTGCCCATCACTGGCAGCACTCACAGGGACACACTCCCTATCACTGGCAGCACTCACACTGACACCCTCCCCATCACTGGCAGCACTCACAGAGACACCCTCCCCATCACTGGCAGCACTCACAGAGACACACTGCCTATCACTGGCAGCACTCACAGGGACACACTCCCTATCACTGGCAGCAGTCACACTGACACCCTCCCCATCACTGGCAGCAAATACAGGGACACCCTCCCCATCACTGGCAGCACTTACAGAGACACTCCATCACTGGCAGCACTCACAGGAACACACTCCCCATCACTGGCAGCACTCACACTGACACCCTCCCCATCACTGGCAGCACTCACAGAGACACCCTCCCCATCACTGGCAGCACTCACAGAGACACACTGCCCATCACTGGCAGCACTCACAGGGACACACTCCCTATCACTGGCAGCAGTCACACTGACACCCTCCCCATCACTGGCAGCAAATACAGGGACACCCTCCCCATCACTGGCAGCACTTACAGAGACACTCCATCACTGGCAGCACTCACAGGAACACACTCCCCATCACTGGCAGCACTCACACTGACACCCTCCCCATCACTGGCAGCACTCACAGAGACACCCTCCCCATCACTGGCAGCACTCACAGAGACACACTGCCCATCACTGGCAGCACTCACAGGGACACACTCCCTATCACTGGCAGCAGTCACACTGACACCCTCCCCATCACTGGCAGCAAATACAGGGACACCCTCCCCATCACTGGCAGCACTTACAGAGACACTCCATCACTGGCAGCACTCACAGGGACACACTCCCCATCACTGGCAGCACTCACAGGCACACACTTCCTATTACTGGCAGCACTCACAGAGACACACTACCCATCACTGGCAGCACTCACAGGGACACACTCCCCATCACTGGCAGCACTCACAGGCCACACACTCCCTTTACTGGCAGCACTCACAGGGACACACACTCCATCACTGGCAGCACTCACAGAGACACACTGCCCATCACTGGCAGCACTCACAGAGACACCCTCCCCATCACTGGCAGCACTCACAGGAACACACTCCCCATCACTGGCAGCACTCACAGGGACACACTCCCTTTTACTGCAGCACTCACAGGGACACACACTCCATCACTGGCAGCACTCACACTGACACACTGCCCATCACTGGCAGCACTCACAGAGACACCCTCCCCATCACTGGCAGCACTCACAGGAACACACTCCCCATCACTGGCAGCACTCACAGGGACACACTCCCTATTACTGCAGCACTCACAGGGACACACACTCCATCACTGGCAGCACTAACATGGCCATCTCTTTTGACAGTTAGTGACAGTGTGTGTTACTTTCATACAGCCACAGTTTTCTTAGCTCAGTACGAAGTGATAGCTCACAATGGAGGAGCTTCCATACTCAATACAAATAATCACTCTACATCTGAAAGTTATTAATAAATACATGACTTTTTTTTACTAGCTTCTCTTTCCATTATTTTTTATTTGACAAATATTATTTCTGAATGCAAAGTTATAAATCATTTTACATATAAATCTTATTTTTTTATGATATGCAGAGTTCATTTTTACTGTAACTAAATCTCCATTATTATAGGCCAAGTCAGGCATTTAAAAAAAAAAAAAACTTTTAAAATAATGTTGTGGGCTTTGAAGTGAGTGAGAAAAGTCCCTGCCTTATGAATGTTGTATCAATTGGCCCTGCAGCACCTTTCTAATGTAAGCATGTCCAAGGAAGTGCAGCTCTTCCACTGATCAGCCACAATATTTAAATCACCTGCCTAATGTCATATAGGTCTTCTTTGTGCTGCCAAAACATCTCTATGTCAAGACATGGATTTCACAAGACTTCTAAATATGTCCTATGCTATCTGGCACCAAGACAAAAGCAGCAGATCCATTAAGTCCTACCAGTTGCGAGGTGGAACCTCCATGGATCAGATTTATTGTTCTAGCACATCCCACAGATTTTTGATTGGACAGAGATCTGAGGAATTTGGTGTCCCAGGGAACATCTTTGTTATGTTCCTCAAATCATTCCTGAACATAATTTGCAGTGTGTCAGGGGACATTATCTTGCTAAAAGAGGCACTGCTACCAGGGAACACCATTGTCATTAGTTGATGTACGTGGTCTGCAGCAATCTGTAGATGGTTAGTACGTGTCAAAGTAACATCTACATGAATGCCAGGACCCATTTCCCAGCAGAACAATGCACAGAGCATAACACTGCATCCAGTGGCCTGCCTTGTTCCCATAATGCATCCTGCTACCACCTCTTTCCCCGGTAAACCATGCACCCGCACCTGGTCATTCACCTGATCTAAAAGAAAAGGTAATTCATCAGACCAGGCAGCCCTCCTCCATTGCTCCATGGTCCAATTCTGATGCTCACATCCTCATTAAATGAGTTCCTCATGGGCCCTCTGACCGCTCCGCGGCTACACAGACCCATGCGCAGCAATGCACTGTGCGTTCTGACACCTTTTTATCATGGCCAACATTAAGTTTTTCAGCAATTTGTGCTACAGTTGCTCTTCTGTGTGGTCAGACCATATAGGCTAGCCTTCATTCTCCACATGCATCAATGAGCCATGGGCACCCGTGAACTTGACACTGGTTCACCAGTTGCCCTTCCTTGCACCATTTTTGGTAGGTACCTACTGCATACCTGGAAAACCCCACAAGACTTTCTGTTTTGGAGATGCTCTGACCCAATCATCTATCCATCATCATTTGGCTCTTGTCGAAGTCACTCAGGTCTTTTTTTTTTTTCATATTTTCCCTGCTTCCAACACATGAAATTCAAGAATAGACTGTTCACTTACTGCCTAATATATCCTACCCATTGACAGGAGCCATTGTAACAATATAATCAATGTTATTAACTTCACCTGTCAGTAGTTTTAATGTTGTGGCTGATCAGTGAATGTACATATACAGTATATATTCGTTAGCCCTGACCAGCTCCCTGTTAGAGGTTCCTCGTTAAAGGAAGGTTAGAGGCCCTGTTTAAAAGAACCTGATTGAAGTTGCTATGGTGCCTGGAGCCCGGTGGTACTGGGTTCCTCACCACTGTTAAACTCACAGTTTAGCAGAGATGCTCAGTCCCTGGCAGCCCGCAGCCTGACCCCTACTGACAAAATGGCAAAGACAGTTATGGTCAGCCTCACTCTATACCAATTCATATCAAGGACTGGTAGCTGATAGTCTCAGCCTTAGCATGCTACCCTGTTAGGGGCTTGACAATATCTTGTTTAGGAAGACAGCCCTGCACCTTCCTGGCCTTGAGGGAGGCTGAAAGTATGAATATTAGGTCTAAATGGTAACCTGTTCCAAATACAAGTGAGAACTATAGCCTTCAGTGATGTAAAAATTCCCTTTGGTTCACACACGCTCGGCATGATACAGGCCTTCCGAACAGATGACAGCTCACTACAATCCCCTGAGCGTCTGAAGGCTACATGGCTTTTATATCACCCTACGTTCCTTAATATGCCAAGGTTAATTGCATTAGAATCTTAATGTACAGGCACCCGAACGCTCCATTTAAGCACCCCACAGACGTGCCTTAGGCCATTCTAGTTTAGGCGAGAGAGGGCACCTCAGACATTTAACAAAAAAAAAAAAAAAATTGAGTTGATGCATGCAATGTGTGACTAATGTCGAAACAATGTATTTTCTGTTCAATTTACCTGCAAAGCACACGATATGCTGTACAAAATGCACTAACTCACAAAAATAAAGAAATAAAAATGCACTTTTAATCAAAAAGAGTATCGTTGGTAGAGCATTCATTTTTAAAAACATTTTTTATTTTTGTTGTGCATAAGTTTGACAGACAAGTTTGTGATGCCACGACCGCAGACACAGGCATTTCCAAAGGCATGTTACTGTGGCATGTAATTCATTCGAAGACTTAGGAACCAATGTTGTCCAGATACTGACAGATCTCCTTCCTAGCCCCTACCAATAAAGCAGATGGAGAACCCTACAAGTTATACAGTTAGGTCTGGAAAATATTTGAACACTGACACAAGTTTTGTTATTACGGCTGTTTACCAAATTAACTTCAAGTTACCAGTTAATTAATGAATACAGGCTTAAAATGTAGTCTCTCAGATTTAAATTAAGGGTATTCACATACAAATTGGAGGAAAAGTTTGGGAATTACAGCTCTTTAGTATGTAGCCCCCTCATTTTCAAGAGACCAAAAGTAATTGGACGATTGACTCAAAAGCTGTTTCGTTGACAGGTGAGGGCTATTCCTTTGTTATTTCTTCATCAACTAAGCAGGTAAAAGATCTGGAGTTGATTCCAGGTATGGCAAGGTTTAGAGAAGGCTTGGAATAGCTCATGATCAGAAGCATACCACGTCATCTGTAAAACACAGTGGAGGCAGTGTGATAGCATGGGCATGGCTTCCAATGGCACTGACTAGTGTAAATTGATGATGTGATAAAAGACAGAAGAAGCTGGATAAATTCTGAAGTGTATAGGGATATATTGTCTGCTCAGATTCAGGCAAATTCAGTGAGTTGATTGAACAGTGCTTCACTTGAGATATGGACAATGACCCAAAACATACTGGGAAAGCAACCCAGGAGTTTTTTAAGGCGAAGAAGTGGAATATTTTGTAATACCAAGTCAATCACGTGATCTCAACCCAATCAAGCATGCCTCTCACTTGCTGAGGTTAAAACTTAAGGTCCACGAACAAACAAAAACTAAAGACAACTGCAGTAAAGGCCTGGTAAATGTGGAAACCTAGCATTTGTCCACAAATTCCAGACTTCAAGCAGTCATTGCCTGCAAATGATTCTCAACAAAGTATTTAAAATTAACATTTTATTTATGATTGTGTTCATTTGTCTAATTACATTTGAGCCCCTGAAATAAGGGGACTGTGTATAAAAAATGGTTGCAATTGTTAAATGTTTCATTCATATTTTTTGTTCAAACTCTTAAATGAAAGCTGAAAGTCTGCACTTCAATTGTATCTCGGTTGTTTTATTTCAAATCCATTGTGGTGGTGTACAAAAGCCAAATTTATGAAAATTGTGTCAGTGTCCAAATATGTCCAGACCTAACTGTATAGGAAGAAACAGAATGAAACTCTGAAGAAATATCCTCCAGGTGAGACGTCTCTCCTACAAACTTGTTGGAAATTTAGTGAACATGACATAGCTGTTGCTTCCATTGCTGCCTTCACACCAGTGAGCATCCACATCCTCATAAAAAAGATAGAGTCCAGAGAATTGTCATAAATGGTAAGTTTTCAAGCTTGACAAAAGTGGTAAGTAGTCTGAGGGTTCTGTTTTAGGATCACTTCTACTCAATCTGGAAAAAGGCATAGATAAAATAATACACGGTGAGAAGGATATTAATTTGCTACAGAACGAGTTAAATAGATTAGGTGACTGGGCACTCAAATAGCATATGCAATTTAATGTAGATAAACAAAAAGTTATACACTTTGGGGTAAAGAATGCACAAGCAACTTACACCTTAAATGGTAGTGAATTAGGGAATACATATGAGAAGGATTTTTTAATTGTTATCGACAACAATGCCCAATCTTAATCACCAATTGCTAAGGCCAGCAAGGCATGGTTATGTATGAAAAGAGGCTTTATTTCATGGGACAAAAATATAATTTTTGCTTCTTTATAACGCAATGGTAAGACCTCACCTTGAATATTCCAATCAATTTTGGGCACCTATTCAAAAGAAAGATATTATGGTACTAAAAAAGGCGCAGAGGCGGACTATAAAATTAATAAAAGGAATGGAACATTTTAGCAATGAAGAAAGGTTAACAAATGTAAATCTGTTTATTTTAGAAAAATGGTTCATCAGAAGGAATATGATAATACTATATTTATGGATGGATCCTTTGATCAATCAAAGGCTCTGCAAGGTGTTAGATTCTACACTTAAAAAACCTGAATGTCTGGTCCCAATGTAAACTACCTGGTTTCAGCCATATGGCCTGTAACTTTTAATTGATGAGTGGATTTCTTTGATATGTTAATGATCATTAGCTTCCAAGAAAAGAGAAAAAAGTCTTGTTTTCCAGTATGATATCCAAAAGAAAGAAACTAATATTTACTCACAGAAAAATAATTAAGCAATATTTTTGTTATATTTGGAATGTGACCAGCACAATCTTCTAATCAAGCACAAACATGATTTGCATAACTTAACCATAGGGAAAGGGATTGTGATGTCTGCTATATTGGGTCACAAGTAAGAAGTGTGACATATCTATGGATTGGGAAAATGGTAATCAATTCATAGATGCAATTGTTTCTGTGGCAAGTACATAAGAGCAGATAGAACCAAATGTTTCCATTTGGATTGATGTTAGTCTGGAACACAAGGGGGTGGTCCCATATAGTTACTATAGGTACATCTTATCTCCACCTCTTGGCGAGGCTTGATAATATATATACCCACAGGGTATATGTCTAATGATTCTGAAATGTGTCTTTGTACTTGCTTGAGGGGCCAGAAATCTAATTCTAAGTGAGTCTCCATCTTTCTTACCAGAGACCCCCTGGGGCAGAAGTTTTACTTTGAAAAGCCGAGTAAGTGATTAGGACTTTTGTAATTTTATCCCTTTTGTTTTTATCTGTTGTTGGTGCAACTAATTTGATTGTCATCTATATTTTTTTTTTTCAAAGTCTTTATTGTCATAAACGCACATTACAGAGTTAGATAATAGAGAAGTACATGGTGTTTAAAAGGTACAGGAAGGGTTACACGGGTTAGGTATATGTCTATTCTGTACCGACATGGGTGGTTGAGAACTGTGGCTACTCAGAATAAACATGGTGGGGGAGGGGGAGTCTTGTCCCGTTGAGTCTTGTCATGGTTTGTGTGTCTATCACTTATCACTTTGCAGGGTGTATTTCCAGTCATCATAAAACCAGTACGTCGTGCCCGCAGAGCGGGTTGTGAGCGTCTAGTTGTGGAGGTGGGTAAACTCTTACTTAGGCCAAGTGTTTTTTGGCGTAGCATGAAGCCTGTCTCGTCGGCTCGTGGTTTAAGTGTTGTACGCTTTCGTCACCACTATTTGTCGGTGTGTGAGACGACTTTCCGGATCGGTGTGTGGGCAAGCTTCTCATCCTGTGAACACGGGAAGTGTCGGCTACTTGGTACACTGTATGTGTTCAGTTAGAGTTGTGATACGTGAAGGTGGCAGCTGATGGCCCGTTTGGACCGTAGGCGTGCTTCTCTTGAGCATTTCATCTAATGCGGTTGATGCTTAGGGTGAGGACTAAAAAGGCGGGGGGAGACTAGAACTGGGGGGAGGAAGGGGTGGGGGGGTCTCGGACAGACCGGTGCTGAATCCAGACCTTATCGTTGTATGTGAGGCGGTGCACAGTCGCTAGTGTGACCTTAAGTGTGGATGTGAATCGTGGGATCTGGTTTGGTCATGAATTTTTCCCAGGGACTCCACACCTCACGAAAGAGTGGGTATGTGTGTGTTATGGAAGCGTGAATTTCTTCCAAGTCTTTAATCCCATCTACCTTTGTGATCCATTCTCTGATTGTGGGGGTCTCCGGGTTTTTCCATTTTGCGGGGATGAGGGCGTTGGCCGCTAAGAGTAATTGTACTACCAGCTTACGCAATGGCTTCGGTAGAGGCGTGTGTGGAAGTAGGAAGAGTAGGGATTGGGGTGTTGTGGGGAGCGTCAGCCCTGTCACTATTCTGACAATTGACAATATGTGGTTCCAATATGTTTGTATGTTAGGGCAATGCCACCATATGTGCGCTAAGGTCGCCCCTGTTGGTGGCATTTCCAACACGTTCCCAGGGTCTGCGGGAAGAGGTTGTGTAATTTCGCCGGCGAGTAGTGCCAGCTGGATATTCTCTTGTATCCACTTTCTTGTAACCTGTTGCAGATGGAGGTTTTGTGGATTTGTGTAAATATAGTTTTCCACCAGTCATCTATAGTCATCTATATTTTGTATGCACTGTGACTATTTTTGCTCATAATAAATATTCCTTTATTAAGTTCTGCCTTTGTCTTGTAAAGAATCATGTTACTTGAAGAGACTAATTAGTATTTTGCAATTACATAGATATTGTGCTAAGTTACATTTGGTGGGTTTTTATTATTAAATTACCTGGGGGACCAAGGCACCCAATTTATAAATTGTCTTGGTGGTGGTAAATAGTAATAGTTATATTATTATGTTTAAGAGTGGGTGGTGTTAAGGGAAATTTTGTCATTATTTCCAGTCTAGTGCCGACAAATAGTGAACTGGTCCTTAAGGGGTTAAAAGTAAAGATGATTAATATAGAGTTTCTAAGTTCCCCATGGTAATGTCTGCACTTTTAATAATACTATTTGTGATGTTCACTTGGAAATGACAAATAGTTACTGGAAAGAAACAGGTCCTTGAGAGACTTTATGCATAATGTATCTTGGAAAAGGGGGAAGCATTTTAACGAGTAACTCAATTCAGCTCCATAATAGACAGGTTTGGATTTCCATTTTGGCCTAGATGTGGAAAATAGTTTCACTGAGTGGCCTCACAGCTGTTACATCTAAAAGTTAAAATGCTAATTTCTCTGCCCTCTGTCCCCCCTTCTGTTTGTACTTTCTCTAGAGCCATTTCTGGAGGTGGTCAGACGGGACGGGGGCATCGAGGGGATAACACACGGCGGAAGGGAACACAAGGTGTCTGCATATGCCGATGACCTGCTCTTCTTCATATGCAACCCAGCGGTCACAATGCCCAATCTCCTAGCCGCCTTCACCAAATACGTGACCATTTCCAACTTAAAACTCAACACTGACAAATCAGAGGCACTGCCTCTATCCCTCCCACAGGAGACGGTGGATAGGCTAACAGCGAACTTCACCTTCAATTGGTGCTCACACAGTATAACGTACCTTGCTATCTGGCTAACCAAAGAACCCTCATGTTATATAGGGAAAATTTCCTCCCCATGTTTCAAACGCTACGCAAAGACCTCCTGAGGTGGGGACGCATGTATGTATCATGGTTCAGACGAATCAATGCCGTGAACATGAACCTGCTACCACGCTTATTGTACCTGTTCCAAACCATTCCGATCACGATTCCACCGGCCTACTTCTGCACCTTGAGCTCCACACTAACCAGGTTCATCTGGTCGACCGGCCCCCCGAGAAAAACACAACTAGCTCTTCCGAGACACAGAGGGGGAACAGGGCTACCATCCATATAAGCCTATTACCAAGCCACCCACCTCCTGCGGATCATAGATTGGCACTTCCTCACGACAGACAAGCAATGGGTACACATACAGGGAGTGCAGAATTATTAGGCAAGTTGTATTTTTGAGGATTAATTTTATTATTGAACAACAACCATGTTCTCAATGAACCCAAAAAACTCATTAATATCAAAGCTGAATATTTTTGGAAGTAGTTTTTAGTTTGTTTTTAGTTATAGCTATGTTAGGGGGATATCTGTGTGTGCAGGTGACTATTACTGTGCATAATTATTAGGCAACTTAACAAAAAACAAATATATACCCATTTCAATTATTTATTATTACCAGTGAAACCAATATAACATCTCAACATTCACAAATATACATTTCTGACATTCAAAAACAAAACAAAAACAAATCAGTGACCAATATAGCCACCTTTCTTTGCAAGGACACTCAAAAGCCTGCCATCCATGGATTCTGTCAGTGTTTTGATCTGTTCACCATCAACATTGCGTGCAGCAGCAACCACAGCCTCCCAGACACTGTTCAGAGAGGTGTACTGTTTTCCCTCCTTGTAAATCTCACATTTGATGATGGACCACAGGTTCTCAATGGGGTTCAGATCAGGTGAACAAGGAGGCCATGTCATTAGATTTTCTTCTTTTATACCCTTTCTTGCCAGCCACGCTGTGGAGTACTTGGACGCGTGTGATGGAGCATTGTCCTGCATGAAAATCATGTTTTTCTTGAAGGATGCAGACTTCTTCCTGTACCACTGCTTGAAGAAGGTGTCTTCCAGGAACTGGCAGTAGGACTGGGAGTTGAGCTTGACTCCATCCTCAACCCGAAAAGGCCCCACAAGCTCATCTTTGATGATACCAGCCCAAACCAGTACTCCACCTCCACCTTGCTGGCGTCTGAGTCGGACTGGAGCTCTCTGCCCTTTACCAATCCAGCCACGGGCCCATCCATCTGGCCCATCAAGACTCACTCTCATTTCATCAGTCCATAAAACCTTAGAAAAATCAGTCTTGAGATATTTCTTGGCCCAGTCTTGACGTTTCAGCTTGTGTGTCTTGTTCAGTGGTGGTCGTCTTTCAGCCTTTCTTACCTTGGCCATGTCTCTGAGTATTGCACACCTTGTGCTTTTGGGCACTCCAGTGATGTTGCAGCTCTGAAATATGGCCAAACTGGTGGCAAGTGGCATCGTGGCAGCTGCACGCTTGACTTTTCTCAGTTCATGGGCAGTTATTTTGCGCCTTGGTTTTTCCACACGCTTCTTGCGACCCTGTTGACTATTTTGAATGAAACGCTTGATTGTTCGATGATCACGCTTCAGAAGCTTTGCAATTTTAAGAGTGCTGCATCCCTCTGCAAGATATCTCACTATTTTTGACTTTTCTGAGCCTGTCAAGTCCTTCTTTTGACCCATTTTGCCAAAGGAAAGGAAGTTGCCTAATAATTATGCACACCTGATATAGGGTGTTGATGTCATTAGACCACACCCCTTCTCATTACAGAGATGCACATCAACTAATATGCTTAATTGGTAGTAGGCTTTCGAGCCTATACAGCTTGGAGTAAGACAACATGCATAAAGAGGATGATGTGGTCAAAATACTCATTTGCCTAATAATTCTGCACTCCCTGTAGAAAGAACGCAAGCTGGCGGCCGAATACCACCGGTAACATGGACTCAGAACCCGACGCGGGACGGAGACCTAAGGATCTACCCTTACATTGGGGCGACGCTGGGGATCTGGACGAGGAACTGGTACAAACTGAGGTTCACAACAAACCCGTCACCCCTGACCCTGGTCATGCACAACAAAGAAATCACAGGGGGCCTGACATTGCGAGACATTGAGGGCCTCGGCGGGAGTGAGGCTCAAAACCTCTGTGCATGGCTCGCCAACAATACGCTACGACCAATCGAGGACATGCTGTCCCAGCCTAGGGCGACAGGCATCCTCAGATATCGATACCACCAGGTGCAACGCTCCTATACGGCCCTACAGGGAAAGCAATGCTCTGTGCTCGCAAAGAACACCTACCCCAAGGGATCTCGACCCTCTATGCTCTACTCCAAGCAGCAAAACAGGGCCCCTCAGCCCACTTCCGCTCTAAATGGGAACAGGCCACTGGAACTACCCTCAAGGACCAACAATGGGAAAAGATCCATGTCCTCTCCTACCAAGGAATACTCAGCTCCAAAATACAAGAGCTCAACTCTAAGCTCCTGACCGGTTGGTGCAGAACCCCAACCAGACTTTATGGTTTGCTATGGGAATCGTGCCGACCAATACGTACTGGCGCTGCGAGGTGGAGGAGGGAACGGACCTCCACATCTGGCGGTCGTGTCCCCCGATCGCGGCCTTCTGGCGGCAGATCCACAACAAACTCATTGAAATACTAGACTCCGAAATGCCCTTTGAACCACTCCCCGTGCTCCTCAACTACATGCGGACACTGCTGGCTAGCTACAAGAAAACTATAACGAGACACCTACTCAATGCCGCCAAAGGCCTAATCCCCCCTAGGTGGTAATCGAAAGACATCCCAACCTTGCCACAATGGATGGCGAAGGTATAAGAAATCTTTGCGATGGAGTACCTGGCAGCTGAGCTACGTGGAATACAGGAACGCAACACCCGGCTGTGGGCGCCCTGGATCGTACACATGGCCGGGTGGGGGCCGGGGCGGATACCGCTGGGACCCGGATGGGTTGCCGAGTAAGGAACTACAGGGCACTGGTCAGCAGCAGCGCAAGTTCCTCCCCCTCCCCCCCTCCTCCCACACTATTCACTCGTCCCACCCGCCCCTCCACCTCGCCAACTACCTACCGAACAACAGAACAAGTGGACACTACCCCGGACAGATAACCACGCAAACGGACAGTTACCTAACCACAGACAGCCACACCCAGCCACACAGACCACAGCTTCACCATGACCTTAGACATTAGCCCACATAACCCTGCCCAGACATCCATGGAAACAAAGAACACCTGGCTCCCTGACGCCAAACAACCAGACCCACACACACAAGCTCCACGAACATGAGACGTGCTTACCCGTGTTCATCCCACCTGAGAAGGGTGCATGGTGATTAAGGGGAAGGGGGACAACAGATGCGGACGGGAGAGGCCCCGCAAGGACCCACGCGACAAGAAGAGGGGGACGTACGTAAATCACAGGATATGACTCCACCACAGCCCTCCATACACTGACAGAGACACGAGGAATGCAGATCTCGTCAAACTCACACACACTTGTAACACACACCCACCTGCTAACTGAAGATACAGTCCCCCGCCCAGCAAGGGTTAGACTAAAGCTGGGAGACTGAGAGGAATGACATGTCCCAGCCACAAATAGGGAAGAGGGCTGGGGTCCCCCCTCCACCCCACACAGGCGTAATAAGCATCCCGTATCTGACACAAGCTACAATGCTTCGCAACCACTCCATTAACAAAGAAGAACAAACACAAAGGGAAGGGTGTGACACAGAGGCAGGTCAAGCCTCCCATGCTCACATTATTCGGGTCGACACCGAGGCACACCTTCAAGAGGGCCCAGACTACCAGGGTCACTCCTGCTGTAACCGTGGGACGCAAAGGGCACATCCACTACGACTGCTCCATAAGCCAATATAAGTGTTAAAACAATAATACTATTGTACCCCCAATTGTTAACTACCTTGTTCAAATGATAAAACTTTAAAATAAAGAATGTCAAAAAATTAAATGCTAATTTCTCAAGTCTCTCTGGGTTTGTAAAGTAGAAATGTACAGCATTTTACAGGTTATAAATTAGTTAAAAGTTTTGTGACCACCATATTTAATAGGAAAAAGAGAAAAAAAAACATATTTAATAAGCTGTGAATTTAAGCCAACTATTAATATATTTTTTTTGGCGGGGTGGGGGTTGGGGAGGAGAATGCTCAGTTTGACGAATCTGCTGAAATGCAATAAATTTACTATGACATGAAAACAAAAGAATCTCATCATACACAGGCCAATTTTCCGAGGAGTTATTTCACATTACCACAGAACAATTCTCATTAACTATTGCTAAACAAATAAAAAGATTGTATGAGGTGCCAAGAGAAACAATATTAATGAAACAGAATAGATAACAGTAGGGGCCTGAAATTTCATACTTTACTATATGACAGCGATGACCAAATGTTACCGTAGACTATCATCTTCTGTAGAACAACAACTCCCATGACGCTATGCCAGCCTAGGTTTACAACATTAATTGTTCTTTTTTGGCCAATCCTGCTATATGGTGTAAAAAACACACAGTAATGAACTTTGCAACAGTCTCATGTTTAGAAGGACTGTAAAAAAATGTGGGTCCTATCACACTGCACCAGATTTGCTTCCTGGTTTCTGGAATTAGGGGATCAAAGAGACCAAGTTTATGGAAAGTTTATATGCGATGGCAATCAGCCTAGCATGCATTCTTCTAGCACAGCAAAAGAGTGCTTACACACTATATGCACAAGTAGGAAGGATCAATGTCACCTCTCCAGAGAGAGGTAAGCTGTGCTTGTGTGCATGACCTGTTGACAACTCAGCAGCCCCGTTCATGTAGGGGCATATCCATAGCTTTTGCATTAAACCATCATTACTAAACTCCAGCAGCAAACAGACCTTACACTTAAACAAACAACCAATCATAAAAAAATTCAGCAGGAGATATAACGGCCCAACAACAAAAGCATCTCCTCTTTCTTTGCTGCTCCTGCTGCAACAGGTCAAAGTATTTGGTTCTCTAGTATTGTTCTATTGATTGTATTTGATAAATTGTTTACTTTCTTTATTTTGTATTTTACTTTTTACCCTTTTGCTGTGTCCCTTCATGTCTACCCTCTTAATCTCCTTAGTTTATATATTTTTACACTTTTCTCCGATTTCCTTCTCCACTTCAGGTAGGGCCTTTCTTGCTCTCCTGGTCTGTGTGCTTACATTAATGTATATAATGAGCCTGGGGGGTCAGGAGTATTGCAGATTGTTGGGATGCCCTTCTACACATTCTACCCTTGCTTGAGGGAGCAGTTAATATGGCATGCAGGGGCCATATTGAAGCTCATTAGATTCACGACGAACATTTTATTTTAGGCCCAGGTCGGTATTCACCATGATCAGGCCCTATGCAGGTCGCAACTTATCCTCTAGCATACCAGATTTATTCAATGATTGCCAGTTATTTTCTATATTTGATTCTACTTTTCCACTATTCCTAGAGAAAATATATGGAGTTATGGAGGAAGGTGCTATGACTTATTTTGTCTGGCCGTTTGTGACTCTGGAACTACCCATGACATACCCGCTGCAATATTAAAGACTGACTGGTGAATCCCCCATATATATATTTGAGTACACAGTTGGAAGCTGGTCTTTTAGGGGAGAGCCCCCCTATAGAGTACCTGCCTGGACACTGGTCTCATGGGATTGTGACTACTATGCCAGTATTTGTATATGTTACACACATGGGTGCTCCTCTGCTATACACCTGGGGTGAGCCTCCAGTATTATTATCACCTGGCTGCTCTGATGGCAACAGTTACCTTTTGTGATATTGAGAACCTCACTGTCTCTTATACTATATAAGGGTAAACCCCTTGTTATTATTGAATGCTCATACCGGTCATATGCTGAGGGAGAGCCCCTCTATCACTGACATTGTTCTGGTTTCCTGTGACTGTTACTAGCTATGGATTTACTGGGTGAGCCCGAGTTGTACTCCGGGGACAGTCGCCATGGGTACATATAACCACACTTTTCCTGACATTTTGCTATTTTCTCAAAAAAAGGACAGGACTGGAATTGTTCAGTAGTATTTATGGACAAATCTCTACAGCCTACTCTTGAAAGTCCAGGCCATGATCATAATAGAATTCCATTCACCACCCAGTCAGGTGCTTACATGTCTCCATGGCTCATGGAATCCTCATCAACATGGAGATCAATATGCTTTTCTCCAAAGGCGTAATTCAAGTTGCATTGGACGATGGTGGCTTGTTCAGCAACATCTTCCTCATAAAGAAGAAGTCTGGAGACTTCCGACCTATCATCAATTTACACCATCTCAACAAGTTCGTGCTCTATCAACACTTCAGGATGGAGGGCATCCATCTACCAGTTAACTCATTTTGAACTGAAGGATGCGTGTCTCTCAGTTCCCGTCGCCACTGCGAGTCAGCACTTTCTCAGTTTCTCCTGGCGGGGCCCTCCCTGCCAATTCACTTGCTTTCCATTTGGTCTCAGTACTTCCCGCTGTATGTCTTCTGTGCCCCGAGGCCGTACGTTGTCTTATCTACTTAGACATTTATTGATTTTTTGCAATTCCGCTTCTCGATTGCGATCTCAGACGATGTTTACTGTTCATTTTTTCAAGTCCTTTTGGCTTTGTGGTGAAAAGAGAGAAGTCGGTGCTTTCTCTTTTACATCCAATTTCTAAGTTTCAAGATCAATTTGGTCAATTGTGTTTGACTGCCTGTGTCAAAGATTACGGCCATCCGGAAGGAGATTTGCATAGTTCTCCAGCGAGAATCTACTCCTTTCCATCTTTTAGCTTGCATTGTGGGTCTCCTGGCTTACTCCATCCAGGCTATCTTCCCCAGATCCGTCAATACAGGCAATGCAAAACCTGAAGGGCTTCCCCTTCTGGGTCGGACATATGACTACTCAGGCTGGACATATGACCACTTGATGCCACACACTCCAGAAGTGAGGACGGAACAACGCTAGTGGCTGCTCCATATGCAAGCCTGGTGGTTCGGGGGGAGAACTTGCCTGGCCATAATCCCCCAGTTGGTTCCCAAAACTGTGAGCTGGGCTGAAAACAAATCAATATGGTTACTATCTGTTTACTAAGCATTTCAGCTCATCTTATGTTATTGAAGCAAGTTTTATGGAATTAGAGCAGATACCATAGATAAGAACAACATGCTCCTGATTGATAGTACCTCTTTCTGGTTGGCAAAGGCTGTGCAGCTACAGGAACTTTGAAGATGAGTATACTTTTATTCTACTTGTTTTTTTATTAGTATTAGTTTCAGTATTTCAGGGTTATTCACTAAAGTACGAATTCAAAGTGCATTTCAAAATGAAGGCCAAAGTAGTGGAACTGGAAGCATAGCAAACTTCTAAATAGTTCCAGTTTGGCTATTTTTACCTTTTAATTCTCACGTTAGTGAATAGCTTTGTATGTTAATACTTTATCTGTATAATGAATTAACAAAGTAAAGTGACTGCTCTTGACTTTTGCGACCCGATAATAATGATCACCCTGTGTGTAGGCATACTTTGCCCGCCAGGTGCATCTCTTGTAAATTGTACAAGGTAAGTTTAAACCCTGCAGAACAGATAACTCCAGTAACAGAATACGTAATCAGAACACTAAAGCATTAGGAAATACAAATTTGTGTCCCTGTCATTAGTTATGTAGGTCGTCCTCCCAATGCTCAATACTTTTCTATGCGGGTTGCAACGTCACGTAGAAACCTAGAATGGGATGGCAGATAAGACCCATTCAGCCCACCTAGTCTGCCCAATTTTCTAAATACTTTCATTAGTGCCTGGCCTTATCTTATTTCTAGGATAGCCTTATGTCTAACCCACGCATGCTTAAACTCCTTTACTGTGTTAACCTCTACCACTTCAGCTGAAAGGCTATTCCATGCATCCACAACCCTCTCAGTAAAGGAATACTTCCTGATATTATTTTTAAACCTTTGCCCCTCTGACTTAAGACTATATCCTCTTGTTGTGGTAGTTTTTCTTCTATTTAATATAGCCTTCTCCTTTACTGATGTAAATATAGTCTCCTCCTTTATTGACGTAATGTAACCAAGTTTTATTGCAGCAGAAGTGTAACACCCCTGAAGCTCTGTTTAACCGCTCAATGTAACCACTGTTGTTTCTGCAAAATGGCAATGTTTTACATTGAATGGTTAAATTGACAGAACCACTGCACCCAGACCACTTCATTTTGATGAAGTGTCCTGGCTAGCTTTAGTGGTTCTTTAAGTCTTTCATAAGCGCCAAGTGTCTGATTACCTTTTCTTTCCCACCTAAAGATTATATATAGCCAGTCTGGCAGAATGTCTCTTATTGAATATTGTATTGGGCTCAGGTTTCCTTATAGCACAATTGACATTGCTAGCCTGTTTGCTTCCTTGGCATCTATATCTATTAGCAACCTTATCTGTTTTTGAAACGGTATTGCCAAATTCTGTGTTCCATTATATGGTATGGTTCCACTCTCTCAAAAAACCAAGGGATGTTCACAGATTGTTCCAACTACCTACAAGGGGTCTTCCGGCCTATTCGATCAAACCTATTCCTTCTGGTTCTTTTTTCCACTGGTTGCTGAGTGACATTGTGTATTTGCTGTGTCCTCTATGTCAGTAAGTTATCCAGCTCTTATAACCATGTGTTACTTTGTCCCTTTAAGACACTTTATTTTTATCGATTTTGCTGCATTTGTTTCTATTATATCTTTTGTATCATCCCCTTTAAAGGGTAACTGCCATGACTATTTTCACTTATACTCTTTTTGAAAGATCATACATTTTTATCTATACATTGTTCTAGCAGGTTTGCAAGCAAATGTATATATTGGGAGAAAAAACAGAATCACACAGAAGGTTTGTCCTAAAAGAAGAGAGCAGAAGGAGCAAGGTGCGGACTTGAGGTGGGTGTTCCAAGAAGGGTAACACCCATGGAGATGGGGTAACGGGGTGTTGGTAAGGTTGGTATTTCTCAAAAATTGATCTTGAATGCAAAATGTTTATTTGTAATACACGATGTATTCAGTGTATTTGGGTGTGATTTAAACCATTGAAAAAAATTGCGTGACAGGTTCACTTTAAACTGCTCTGATACAACTTGTTTATGTAATATTCATGTTATATTAGTTTATACACCTGGCCAGAACCAACATATAAGCAGACGAGAAAGTAGGTGGGATTTTTTTTTGCATTGCATAAATGTACTATAAAATAGAATTCCAATCAGGGTTATCTCAAAGAAACATATCTGTCTGACACTGTTGAAAAAACAACATAGCACCATTTAAAACAGAAAATAAAAATAAACCACAAACATCAAAAACCAATTCCAGCCTTCACCTTGCTTTATTATTGAAATGTAATTTATTCTTTCAAACCAGTAAACAAGGGTTGCATGTCTGGATTTGCGTATAACCCTTTGCTTTATCAAACCACAGGTAAGTTGCATAGAAGTACAAATTATTTAGAGGTTCATTTTAATTTATGCATCAGCCCCTTTTTGAGTTAAAGGAATACTATATGCACCCAGACCACTTCAGCTCTTTGAAATGGTCTGGGTGCAGTGTCACAGGTCCCTTAACCCTGCAATGGGAATTATTGCTGTTTTTAATAAACTGCAATAATTATCTTTGAGGGTTAACTCCACCTCTATTAGCTGTCTACCAGACAGTCACTAGAGATACTTTCAGGTCGTTAGCTGACTTTTGGTCGCCTAACTGAATCTGGATGTCCTCACGCTATGCATTAAGATATACAGCATCACCCAAAACCTCATAGGAAAGCATTATACAATGCTTTCTTATGAAGAAAGTCCTAATGCGAGCGGGACCAGCGGAGTCGGAGGGACATTGGTGCTGGAATCAGGTAAGTGACAGAAGAGGGGGGCACTATAGTGCCAGGAAAACAAACCACTTTAGTTTACCTTTAACTCCTAGATTAAACTGGTTGCATTAGGATAGTGCCTAAAAAAACATTACTATTTGTGTTACGCAAGTTAAGCTTAAAATAGGCACCAGTCCACAGACAACAGCAAATACAGTAAATTATGGAATTAAAATTGCTGTAATTATTTTTCTGTCAAGCATTGATAACAGGGCTCTAAATCTAAACCCATTTAAACTATTAATTTGAATATAAGCACCACATATATCAGCTGTTTAGAGTTCTCCTGTCCATTTTCCAATCATATTTATGATTCATGCTTCAGAAAGGTTTAAAATCATCAAACACCGGGAACAATATGACACTTAACTTTCAAAACAGCACCAAACAGGGAGGGGGGCCGCAGACCTTCGGGCTAGGGGTGCACAATATTCCCTCAGGACGCAGGGGGGAGGACCACACGACATCCGGGCACCGTGGGCATGGAAGCCCAATAACGTTATACCACTACACTGATAGTACTCTGACATAGTACCAAACAGAAGCTTGGCGATGATTTAGTCCAGAGCCTACTACCTTTTCTTATACCGGGCCATAGCCCACTAGCACAGCTAGGCCCACCGGGAACCACAACTCAAACACTATACCAGACGACCACAGACAGGAGGAAGTTGTTGTGACACCATAGACCCCCCAATAAGATTACCATGACACTAGGTAGCAATGCATTGAAGGTGCATGAACCATGCGCGACCTCTAAACAAAAGCCAAGACGTCGCTAACAAAAAAAAAAACTCGCAACCACGACAGAACAACAAACCACATATAGGCGACCAAGGCACAGAAGCCAGTCCAGCTCACAAGCGAGGCATACCAGAGGCGTACACCACAACAGCACTACTGACCCACACTTAACCTATCCACACAGACACAGTGCACCAAACATATGGAGAGACGTCACAGGTGGAGTCTCTGCCTGGCTGTGGGGGGTGTGTCTGGCATGTCACTCGGCCTCTCTAGGGTCAGGGAAGGGGCCACAGCAAACAAAGACCACAACCTGGAGGGCCCTTACCCATCACCACTATACCTCACTTATCATTCAGACTCTATGGCAAAAGTCTTCCTAAATCTCTGCTAAACTCATCACGCTACAACACAACCGACAACGGGGGGATAAACTAAACAAAACACAAAAAAAAGTGTGTTAATTTCCATACACAACCGTTTATATTTGACAAACCGTTTTTCCTGTCATATATGTATATTGTGCAAACCTGTACTCTCACACACGCAACACGAAGACAATAACAAAACAAAAACAAAACAAGGCGAAAACAAAAATGTGTGATGATTCCTATATACACTAGTTTGTATTTGACCAACCAGTTTACTGTTCTATTTGTATCTTGTGCAAATCTGTATTTCTACATACACAACAAAAATAAAGAATAAAAAAAAAATATCAAACACCAATTTCTTCACTTATCAAAATCTAAAACAATTTAAATTTCACCTTTGGAAAAAAAATGTAGAGAATCATCTCTCTAATCCTGGAGCACAGGCTCTGACTTGTCTTTAATATGATAACTAGTTAGGATTTCCAGTATAGTACTGTTTACGAACATTTTTCAGAATCCTACAATTCATTACATTTTGCTAATCAACAGCATGTGTGCTCTTCCAATAATTGAAGTTGTAGTTTCTTTCATACTGTGGCTAATAATTAAAGAAACACTCCACACTGCAAATTAGTAAAAAATAAAAAACAAAATTATGGTTTAGTAGATAAGCCCCCAACAAATACATGCGTGCATATATTGACTAGGAGTATACCTTAAGGGAGCTTGCAAAAAGTATTCTCCTCATCCATGAAACACTTCAGCAAGCTTTAAAGGGACACTCCAGACCCCTAAAGCACTTTCGTGTGCACAAAAAGTGCAGATTTCAACAAAAAATAGCATTTTATAAATTAATCTTCTTATTACACCCCCTGGCTTTCAATCAGACAATCTGTCCTGTTACTTCCTGGTTTGTTTAGCTTAGTGGAGGTAAACGTAAGATACAGCAATTACCCAGAACACCAACCTTGCAAACACTTTTCATTGATCTTCATTGGGAAGTCTGTAATTGGACAGGCACAGGAAGTCTGGGCGAGACTAGAAGGGGAGGGCTGCAGACCTAATGAAAAAAATATATATTTAAATGGGTGCATATCTACTAAATAGTTATAGAATGCTTATTGACCTGTTATAACATTATAATTTTCTGTATGTTTAAAACACATTTTAATAAGTAGACTACTTCATTGCCAATATCATTAACTATAGCACTTCCATATACCTGTTCTGTTTTGATTGCAATTTATGAGACCGTGATCATAAATATGTGAGATTCAGTGTCTAGTAGTATTACCGTCTAGGCTACATGTGCTTTAAACATTTACTTGATGTGGAGGGATGACTGTGAACCCCATTGTAATCCCATTAAGATTTAATTGTCAGTAATGCACCCAGAGCTTAACCATGAGATCCTTTTTGGAAATTAATATATTATTATTTTTATTATTATTTTTTAAATGTATTTCATATGTTAGCTTTTACTTATGATAACATAATCCGATTTATATTATTATTATGGTGACTTTAAGAGGATGTGGAAACTGTGGCTTAAGAGCATATATGGCAGAATTATTAGACAACCTCTCAGACTTGGCAGCATCATTCTGTAATTAGATTTCATGTTAAGGCTACATTACTCATGCATGACTTCCTTTTTCTTCTAACAATTCATTCACAGTTTACATCAGCTTTAAGTCTGGGATAACATTCTCTGTATCATATCATAATACAGTGTACTTCTCTTGCACCTTATTAAATTCAAGAAGCAAACACAGACTCTTTCCTGTGTTCTTGTTCAATTGATAAAAGGCAGTGTCCCACGGACTAATACAGGATTAGTACACATAACAGCATAAGATATAAATATAATTTGATTCTTCTGGCTTACATTACTTGCCTTTTTTTATGTCCCAAATGTCTAGCAATATGGAGATGTCAAAACCTTTTTTTCATCACGTTAGGTAGGAAAATGTAACATTTCCTAACACAATAGTGCTGCAGGGGCAGTTAAGGTACTGGCCCACCTCAGAGTCTAGTTAAAACACAGTTTCACTCACCTTTTCTCCATCGTCGCAACAATCTTGCTGAGGCTGGTCTCACCTCTGTGGCTGAGATCATCAATCCAATGCTTTCCTATAGGCTATTGCGCATGCAATCAATGCATCTTTATGGGTAGTGTACAGCGCTGAACACAGGGGCTGCAGCACTGAAATAGAAAGCACCTCTAGTGGCAGTATGAGTCATTGCACCTCTAGTTGTTACTAAGCAGCGATGTAAACAATGCCTTTCGCATTAAGCTGTAGTGGTTCTTGTGACTATAGTGTCCCTTTAAGACTTACTAATATTCAGCGCCAATGTATCTTTATATCCTGACCTTGAACCATATTCATAAAAATAATATTAAACAATATTACTGAAGACATGTAAAACCTCTGGTGAAATTTAACAGAAAGAAAAACTGCCTTAAGTGCACAAAAAAAAAAAAAAAAATGTTCTCACATATCAGTTCTGTGACTGAAATTGACATTTTAGCCATAGGCATTTAATGAGAGTTGAATCCCCAGAAATGGGTCTCTTTAGCCCCAAATATAGTATATTAACTATTAATATAGTATAATATAATACAGCTGATGGATTGTGCTAAAAAAATGTTCATCAGGCAGCTGCCTTTCAAAGCAGCCACCTATTATAAAAAGAAAGATCACTAGGATAGAGCACCATTGGGTTACTTAAAGGTACACTCCACTGGCCAAACACAATTTTTTTAAAAAATCAATGTTTAGTATATATATCCCAAATGAAAACTTGCGTGCATTTTTTCATTGGGGATATATCTAATAACAGCTTTGCAAAACATGCAGTTCTCTTGTCTGCTGCCGTTGCAAGCCCTCCTCTTCTAACCCCGCCCAGACTTTCCGTGGCTGTCTGATCACAGACTTCCCAATGCAGCTCAATGAGAAGGCAGGTGCTCCGGGCATTTGCTGCCTCTTGAGGTCAGTTGCATTGAGCCAACAAAATTAGGAAATAACATTACCTGTTGTCTGCTCGAAAACCAATGGGGTGTAACTCGGTTAATTTATAAAACTTTTCATTGCTATTGAAATCTGCACTTTTTGCAAAATTGAAAAAAGATGGCACACTCTTCACACATAAAGCTCTTCAGCAAGCTAAAGTTATTTAGGGGTCTGGAGTGACCCTTTAAGAGGAAGGGTGGTGCCCCCAAGTAGAGGGGGCCTGGGAAAAAGAATGTTACTTTATACCCCTCAATTAGTTAATTAGTTAGTATGGTGTGATCATATTGAATAGTTATACTTTCATTGGGATCCTTGGGAAGATGAGCAGCATACTGTTCATGGGTAAAGAGGAGAGGACATGAGATAGACAGGCAGGGATAGGTCTCATCTTATTCCCATCTCTCAGTTAATGTAGAGGTCATCATGTTTTCTATTGAGCTCATGCACCAGATGTTTCTGTAACCTAGCAACGCCCAGGAGTTTAGCTATAAAACTGGGTAATGATTTGACTTGATGGGCGTTTCCAGCTAATGTCAGTACAGTTTACAGCATTCTAACACTAAACCACTAACAACTATACTGCATATAATATCACTAAAAAATGAAAAGTTACTCCCTTGAAGAATCCCCTTGGAATTGACAGTTTGTGAATAGTAATTAATTTTGTATAATGATGGTAGAGATGTGTGCCCCACTGGGCATGTCCCTGCACTATTCAGCAGCAACCTCAGGTGTTTCACTTTAAAAAGTCCTTACATAAATATTTATCTTTACCTCACAGAAAAAGTACTAGTCTAAAATTGTATTGCTAGTTAGAATGTAGTTATCCAGAGGTTATTTAAGACCACCTCCTGGGCTCTGTTCTGTAGATTGGGACAGCTTGTGTGTGGGTGGAAGTAGTGCGTGTGCATGCATGCATGCGTGCATGTAGTGGTTCTGGGTTGGAGAAAACCAGTGTGGCTGAGAGCTGTATGTCTGGTGGGTGGGAGGGGGGCTGAGTATGCCTACGAGTCCTGTTTGTGGGGTGGTTGAATTTTGTGTGTGGAAGGTAGTCTGAGCGTGGCTATATGTTATGGTAGGTGGAGGCTTTATTGTGTCTGATTGTTGTGTGTGTTGGGTAGGGGGTTGAGTGTGTGGGGAAGCCTTACCATAAATTATTCCCTTTTTTTTCATTTGCCTCAATCTTGCTTATCTTTTGGCAGGAGATAAATATGATCCCTGGTGGTCCAGTTAAGGGAATGCTGGGAAGCAGCATACCTGGTGGCCCATTGGCAGAGCATGGTGGTCAGTACCTCCAGTAACTCTATCAGGTGCAGACCACTTTAACAGCTCCCTCATGGTCCTGGCTGTCAGTCAATATATTTAGAGAGCTGCCTGTGGTGCAGTCCCTGGGAAGTGCCCGAACAGCAGGGAAGCTCTGATAGAAGTGTAGACCTACACAGTGACGTACTAAGGGGGAGGCGTTCGCCCCGGGTGCCAGCAGGGTGGGGGGTGCCTTGGGAGGGGGCGCCGGCCCCCTCCTGCTGCAGCCGCCCGAGCGCTCTGCAGAGAGCCTCGGGCGGCTGCAGTTTTGCCCGCCCGGGCGCAGCCTGAGGAGAGGGGCTGACAGGAGGGAAGCGCTGAGCGCTCCCTCCTGTCCCTCCCTCCCTGTAGCGTGGCCAAGCCCTCTATTGGTCCGCGGGTACAGGGAGCATCTGTCTCCTACACCCGGCCGGACTAACAGGAAGCGCACACTGAATGTGCACTTCCTGTTAGTCCGGCTGGGTACAGGAAACAAAAGCTCCCTGTACCCGCGGACCATAGAGCGCTCGGCCACGCTACAACTGAGGTAGGGGTGGGTGGGAGGTGGAATAAGGAGAGATGGGGGGGGTTGAATAAGGAGAGATATGGGGGTTGAATAAGGAGAGAGATACTTGGGAATAAGGAGAGATGGGGGTTGAATAAGGAGAGATGGGGTTGAAATGGAGATATGGGGGTGAATAAGGAGAGATATGGGGGTTGAATAAGGAGAGATGAATAAGGAGAGATGGGGGTTGAATAAGAGAGATATGGGGGGTTGAATAAGGAGAGATGGGGGTGGAATAAGGAGAGATGGGGGGGTACAAGAGAGATGGGGTAATAAGGAGAGATGGGGTGTGGAATAAGAGAGATGGGGGGTAATAAGGAGAGATGGGGGTGTGGAATAAGGAGAGATGGGGGTGGAATAAGGAGAGATTGGGGGGGATAAGGAGAGATTGGGGGTAATAAGGAGAGATGGGGGAATAAGGAGAGATGGGGGGTGGAATAAGGAGAGATGGGGATAAGGAGAGATTGGGAGGGGAGAAGGAAATTGGAGAGGGGGGATAAAGAAGGAAATTGGGAGGGGAAGGAAATTGGAGGGGGGATAAAGAAAGATTGGGAGAGGGGGATAAAGAAAGAAATTGGGAGGGGGGAGAGAGAAGGAAATTGGAGGGGGGAATGACTGACATTCATCACACAGAAAAACACACAATGCATTACACACACTGCATTACACACACAGACACACATACACAAGCAATGCAACCGTTACACACAATGCATTCATTACACACACTCAAGGCACCCCTTACACACACTCAATGCATCTCGTACATACACAGAAACACACCTTGCAGCCCTTACACATACAAACACAATTTCACACAATGCATTCCTTACACACATATCAGGACATCCCCTACACACACCACCCCCTGTGAACAAACTCATTGGTGGAACATGAAGGTGGACCCTGGGACCCAGACCTTGAGCTGTGTAAAGGGCCCCCAAAAAATGGAGCTGCTTCCCGTTCTCCCAGAACATTGATTTTTGTAACCACAGTTACAAACTGCCTCCAGAGAGCCTGTTCTACACCAGACTGCAGCTAGAGCCCATCATCATCCTCATCTGGTTGTAAGTAGGCAATCTAGTATATTATTCGTGGCACTAATCTCTAATTTACCTCACATTAAAGAAACACTATAGTCCCCAGAACCACTGCAGCTTAGCCATGGTAGTTAGGGTGCCGTGCGGCCAGTACAGCTCACACAAGCAAACAGCTGATAAACTGTCCGCACGGAGGAAAAGTGGGGCGGAGCTAAGCAAAATCGGAGGCGGGGCCAAATTGGCGCTGGGGGCGGGGCGGGGCATGGGGGCAAGGGGGTGCCAAGCACAGGACCCGCCCCAGGTGCCAAATGCTCTAGGTACGCCCCTGGACCTACAGGTAGGGAGGAGGCAGAGGGCCAAGCATGGAGATCTTTTGAGCACCTTGATGGCTCTGAGAGGGCCCCTGACAGGCAGATCTGAAGCCCCAGGCTCAGACAGGAGACCCATTGTCTAAGCCCAGCATTAGGCAGCCTTCTATGCTGTATTATGGGTAATCAGAGATTTCAGCCCAGGCAATCAAATTTTGTATTAATTATAGAATCAACTCCTTAGTATTCATAGAATTACTTTCATTGCGTCAATAAAAACTACTTCTGCAGTGAATTGAAATTTGAATTGAAGACAAAATACAGCTGATTTGAAAGAATATTTCCAACTATTCTATAGTCAGACTCAGAACAAATTCGTCTGCAAAGATAAGGTGTAGTTTATACTTTTGCATTGCTGTTATTAGTTCAGTCCAACTTGGCTGGGAATGATTTGCTGAAGGTTTATGGCAAGTCAGAGTAAATTCCGCATTATCCATGTGAAAGGAAAGAAGACAGACTATAGGTGCTGAGAAGCCACTACAAAACATAACGTCTTTGCATTATAACTGTACAATGATCTGTAGTGGTTATGGTGCTAGGAAGGCTCCTTTAAGAAATGTGTGTCTAATTTCAGATAATCTGCTATAAAAATTGAGTATAAATGTTCAGCTACCCAAAGTGCAAAATAAGGGGGGGTTTCATAAAATATCAATAGGGCACCTGAACAGTTACTTTATAGAGACAAACTAGTTATAAAATAATCCCTGTTGATCCTGTCAAACAGACTACCATTACGCTACAGACTACACAATCTCTGTTCTCATATACATGATACAAGCTTTTCCATATTAATAGCAAAACTTTCACTCTGTGGAACTGTTCTTTCAGCACCTTAACACACCTTCACAGATAATTTATATCAGGTTTGTAAACTATACCCAGACCCTGGTACATATATGTACTCAAATAACTTCTTATAATCTCATCAGAAACACTGTTACTATTATTGGGCAAAATACCAATTGGTCGCAACAAATTTAAATGCACACTGATAGGTATTATGCAATAATGAGAAAGTAATTCATTCAACCTTAGTTTAATTCTTCTTTGTATATGGCTGGAGGTAGCAGTGTCCTGGTTATCTACTGACTATTAATAAATAATGAGTGTGCAAGGTAAACCTTCCTTGTTTCTGCCAGTTGCCATTTATCTTCTTTAACAATGGCACACAGGTTGATTATTTAATTATTAGAATATCAGGTTGCCAGACTGGCATGCATCTGTTATGTATACCTTGTTTGCATTTAATTTGCATAGTCTTGAACGTGATGACGTGAATCGGAACATCTCCGTGCCGTAAGGGGGAGGGAGTAACTGGAGCCGACCCGCATGGCGAACTAACAGCTAATGAGCGGCGATCCCACACTAAGATCAAAGCTGCAACAAATGAAAGAAAACCAGAGGCTATTTGGATTTCTTGTACCCGAGACTCCTCTACTCCCCCATCTAAAGACACTTGCTTATGTTTCCTTCCTCCTACAATTCTCATTTGGGATACCCACGAAAACCAAACTGAGAGGAATTACCACTCCTGGCGAAGGGGTGGCTACCATTAGCAGCTGGACGCCCGGTGTGGACTTACAAACTGTCCCCGTGTATGCTGTCAAGTGTATGCTGTCCTCCTGACGCTGGTTGATACCGAGCGAAAAGCATAAGAATCTGCCATAAAGGTATTTAAAATAAATATATTACTTGAAATAATATAGGAGCAGGAGGAGCAGGAGGAAGAGCAGAGGAAAGATCAGGAGGGAGTGTCAAGTTAAAGAAGGAGTGAAAAGAAATAAGAGAAGAACAGATTAGATGTATTAATTTATAAAGGAGGGGAAAGAAGAGGGGGAGAAAGAGGAAGGAAAAGAAAGGAGGGAAGGAGTAAGGATATATCACAGAAACGGAACGTAAAGAGCAAGAGCGGAGGGATACGATTTTTGCGTCATTGCTCCCCTCGGATATATATTTTTAATATCTAAATAATCCCAATCATATCTGCTCTTCATATAAATCTCTTGGGGCCGAAATTGACATATAAAGACTCATAATACAGAGAGCAAGTTTGTAAAGGGAAGAGAGAGACGAATTCCTGATGCAAAGAAGCTAAGGAATCTGAAAGTTTAAAGATAAAGGAGAACCATAAAAGTAAATTAAAGAAATACGGTAAAAAAGAGAAATTAAAGCATTCAAACTGTATAAAGGGCTCCAAAACAAACTAAGGAGAAGAGAGGTACTTCCTTTTTTTTTTATTATTATTTTTTTTCTTTCTCTCCTTTCTAAATGGCATCTAAACGATTACAAGAATCTAAGGTCGCACAAAAAACGGAAAAAAAATCCGCTAAGTAAGAAAAGAGACTCTCCAACTTTTTCTCCCCACAAAAGACGCAAGATCCTATTGATGAGTCATTGTTAGACTCCTCAACAGCAATGGCACCCCCCCCTCCCCGCTGTAGAATCAACTGGTATTACAATAGAGGTAATAAAAACCCTCTTTGATGACACTTTGAAAGAAATAAAAAAAGAGATTCAAGAAAACTCTATTGACCTCAAAAATGATATCTCCCAGGTACTAACCCGAATTCAAACAATTGAGGATAAGGAACAACATATAGAATTCCAAATTCAAATTCTTAAAGATACACACAAAGAAACAGAAAGGAAAATAATCCAACTTGAGACTAAGATAGCCGATTTCGAAGATAGAGCTTGAAGAACAAATTTAAAATTTAGAAATATTCCTGAAACCATTACAAATGATAAACTGAGAGATTTTCTAAATGAGTTTTTTTTTTTTTTATTTCACTTAACTTGTCATTAGATTCTCATTAATTAAAAGTGGATCAATGTCATAGCGTCTTTAAACCAAACTAATGTTAAAAACAATTTTCCAAGAGGCGTAATAGTCTCTTTTCACTCATTTCAAACTAAAAATCAAATTATGTTAGCACTAAAGAAGAATAGATCGGCAGAAGAAAAATTCAAAGAAATATTTGCCCTTCCAGATATCTCATACTTCACAAGAGCTAAAAGAAGAGAGTTTTCACCAATATTTCAAATTTTAAATACACATAATTTAAGATTCAGATGGAGACACCCAGCATCACTTCAGATTTTTTACCACAATGAATGGGTCACATTTTCAACTCTTGAAACGGCTAATGAATGGCTGAGACAATCTAGTCTCAATTTAAAAAATGGGTCATTGGAGATAAGGGGAAAAGAGAATTATAAAAATTATAAATGTGTTGTCTTTTTTTTTTTTTTACAGTTTATAAAGAAGAGATCACAAAATGGATATAAACTAAGATCTATAAAGAAGATCCAACGAAGGAGTGAATATAAGAGAAAACAAGATGATGAATGAAAGAAGTAGAAAAAAGTCCTTGAAAGAAAAGATTTTTTTTTTCTCTGAATGGTACTATCTTTAAAATGAGAGAATCATAAAGTGTAAAAAGGGGAATCAAGAAATGGAACAAATTCAATGTAATCATTTTTTTTCTTAAGATTCACGTTTGAAAACTATTGTAATATTTAAATATGATTATTTGTATATTTCACAGAATGTTAAGATACAGCCTTTGGAATAGGCTGAATGTATGGTTTATGAATTCATTCTCCTGAACACATTTAACGTAGGTTTAAGACTAAGGAAAATAATAAATAACAAATTTAAAGTAATAAAAATAGAGATATTAGGAAACACAAAAGGGTGATTAGAAAGGGAAAAAGGATAATTTACATAAAAATTGTATCATATTTATGGTATAACTTACAGAGACCACAGACATATTGTTAATAAATTAAATTGGAATGACACTTTATATAAATATTTAATACACCAAATCTTAATCACAATTTTGGTTCCCTAAGTATAACACGGAGAATAAACAAAAAAAAGAAAAAAATGCCATTCTACCTGTGTATGATTTGCTGAGAAGATTATAGTCTTAAAAAGTAACTTTTAATAAATAAACCTAAAAAAAAAAAAAATTATATGAAAAATAATATAAACAGCAGGAGTGGGTGGAGACTATACAGCGAGTAAAACTCTGCGACTACTTATATAAGCTGTAAAAGTGTATACATAATAGCACTAATGCTGAAGCAATACTGTTTGCTACAATATAACATCAGTGTATTTCCAAGTAATAGAACTGATACTGTATTATATATCACTAATAACTGTAACAAGAGGGGGGATATAAGACTACTGCAAAACCAGTGCTGTCAATAGTTAAAAAGTATATGGATAAGTAAATCCCTACATGATAGTACAACTAACGACATGGGTTAGCTCCACATACAACAATTGATAATGTTCTATGGTGCTTAACCTCAAAAAGATCAAAGATAATGGCTCAGCTGAGACAGATTTCTGACAGACGGCGATTAGCCAGTTAAATATCACAAAAGATCATAGATCATAGCAGCGTATGGATAATAAATTAAAGCTTGCTGTCAAGCAGTAAAGTGTAAAATAAGGGGTACCTGAACTGGCTCAGTTTTTTCTGCAAGATACCTAGCAGTATATTCTCGTGTAACAACGGCTGCCTGCACTGAATGATGTTATCTTATGCTTGACCACAGCGGAGCACAAAGTAGTAGCTCAGCTGTGAAGGACTGCTGACAGTCAGCAGTTAACCGGTTAAAAGTCACACAAGTTGCCTAAGTGCTAGCTGCATCTAAATAATAGGTCAAAGTATAAAGAGAGGGTTTACAAACAGTTTTGAACAGGTTGCCTAGGTAGTAGAAAATATACAGACAGTGACAGAGGAAGGCGTATAGAATAAAGATTCCTGAATCTTGTGCCATCGAGGGCACCCCTTAATAAAAATGCCTGGTCTTATCAATCTCCCCTCATAAATGTAATAAAGGAAAAAGAAAGAGAAATAAAGTATGTACAGAGTACACAAAATTAGTGTTAAGAGTCTCCAATATGCACTCCTGAGATGCTGGACATGAATGAACTTGATGTCGGTGTGGCGGAACCAACCTCGCCACTATGCATTGGAGAAGCCTGGTTGCCCGCCTGCTGCCTTTAGACTATGACCCCATGTTGAAACACTTGAATTTCCCCTGCGAAGACACGAAATCCGGGTCATTCGGTGCTTGCCCTGTTTGAGCGAAGATACCCCAGATAGCTATGCCATGGAGCCCATTCGTATAATGAAAGACTATGGGAAAGACTTTGGCTCCATGGCAATTGAACCGTATGTGGGTGCTCTGAGCGCCATTCAGTAACAGTGTGCGCTCAGATCTGAGCTATCTGGGGATATGTTGAATGTACCTGTTTTGTGCAATGGCTGCACAGTTATATATTTTTATGTGTTTTATTGTCTTTTGCTGCCATGTGTTCAATGGAGTTTTGCCTCTGTCCTTGGAGATAATTGGATTACTTCCCAATTATCTCCAGGATAGAAGACTCTGTGGAACTGGTTTTGGGCAGAAAAGCAATGCTTCCTTTGGTCACAAAGGACTTCGATCTATCTTTTGAACCAATGTGGATGATTTTGACAAATGTTTGTATTTGGAGTATGAGTCTGAAAATTTAAGTTTTATGTGAATGTGATGCATACTTTTCAAGTTATGAATAATGTGGAAAAACTGTATTTCTCTGGCTGTGATAATTACATTACCCATTGTGTAAGGTAATTGTATCACAGGCAGAGGGGAGGATTTTGTGTGGGAGTGTCTGAGTGAATTGTACATGTTTATTGGTTGTTTTCCAAAACCCTGTGGGTGGTACTAATGTGTAAGAATGTGTACATAAGAACAATAAACCCACAGCTCTGATATATTCTGCTTAACCCTCAAACTAAGTGTCTTCTCGTTATTGGGGGAATTGGATTGTATGCTGACTGCCAGGAGTGTAAACCTTTCGTATGGTTTTTCCTGTTCAGATGTTTCCAGTATTCATGAGTTTCCTGTTCGGGAGTTGGAGAATTCGTGTAGTTTGCAGTTCGGGAGATTGGTGATTGCAGTAGCTGTCTGTGCATCTGAAAGGGGAATATCGCCTAAACGGTTTTTAACCTCTTGTGGGCAAAACAGTCCGTTACAGTCAGTAATTTAGCAATTGATAAGCAGAGAGTTAGGTGCCGACACCAATAATGTGTTAGTATGTGTCCAGAGCCCCTGACGTGCACGTTTCGCCAGTGAAGCTCATCAGAGGGGACTTTTTTTTTTAAAATCTTTATTTTAGTGAGGCATTTACGCAAAACAGTATAAAGAATGACAATGGAAAGTTGCTCGGCCCTGAACGCAGTCAGGGGGAACGAGCTTCCGTAAAAAGTAGCCTCCATTTTTCTTTTTGTAACAAGTATAACACAACATTGCAGGTATTGGGTACAATCAGTTAACAACGTATTAGGATAATATGCAGTGTATATGTGACAACGGTTATTGCTTCGTATACTTAGTGGCCTACAGCTCTACAGGCCTGCGACCCATAGGCCCGGATCTCTCATGCAGGCTCTCATGAAAATTTACGGCATGTAACATATATCAGGCTTTGTCATGGTGCAACATTACAATCTTATATGGGGTCAGTGTGTCTGGGATATGCAATGGGTTTGTAATGGTGACCTGTCAGTTTCTCTATTGATTAAGACATCATGTGTGTATGTGGTTAAGAGAAAATTGTCACGATGTGTGAGGTCTGAGCCGGGAGGCCCGAGATGTGAATTATGCGTTCTCTGTCGTGCGTGTGCGGGTTAAGAGCCCTTGACCAAGGGGGTTGCAGGGGCGGGGGGGGGTGTTCGGTCCGCCATGTAGTGTGGTCTCTACGTCATCCGACCAGGCCGGCTATTTCTTAAATTAGTTTGTCCTATTAGAGGGTAGCAATAGGGCAGCAGCTAGAGATATATGACAGATATTAACTATGAACATAGAAATAAGAGTGAACTTAAATAATGTATTAACACATGTGTAGACAAGTGTTCATTCAGGGCTGTCTGTGTGTTCATCGATCGTGGGACGAACGGTGGTATGGACGCAGGGTCCCTCATTGCCGCCTGTGATGCCGAGGTGGAGGGCACATCAGCTTGCGATAGTCCCAAAGTTTCCAGGAAGGTCGGTGCATCCGTCATGGATGTCAGGGTGTGTGTCGTCCCGCCTTGGGTCGTAGTCAGGGACCCATTCAGTCCCCATCTGTATTGTAGCCCCGTAGCTCGCAGTTGTGCTGTCACCGTGCTGTATGATTTGCGGTGTAGGAGAGTGGCCCTTGTTAAGTCCTGGTAGAGGGGACTTCTAAGTATAACACTGTCAAAATAAAAAGATTGTTATATTTATAATAAGGATAAAATGAAAAGGGGATAGGGCTTAAGAAACAAATAGAAAAATAGAATAAAAAACAGACTCCTGAAATCCGTTTAAGGGAAAATTTATTTATTTATTTATTTAGTCAAAAGACTCTTGAAACGATTAAATGTAATTTAAAACAATAAAAAATTAAATATTACTATCGGAATAATAAAATAGATAAAATATTAACTAATCGACTTTAAAAAAACAAAATAAAGAATAAGATATATAAAATTATTGAAGACGGAAAAGTCTTATTGACTCCTGAAGATATAGGGAACTAATTTAAGAAGTATTATGAGAGTCTTTATAATCAAGACCACATCTCCACAGATCAGGTTATTGACAAATATTTACATAAAATAAAAATAAAATAATAATCACTTTAATTCAAAAAGAGAAGTTAAAACCAAAAAATATCGCAGTTGGAAGTAGAAGAAAGTATAAATGATTTACGAACCTCAAAGGCTCCTGGTCCAGATGGTTTCTCTAATTTGTTTTTTAAATCATTCAAGGAAATTGTTATCCCCAATATGACAGCTACATTTAATGAAATTGCCTCAACAGGCAAAATAGCACGAGAACTATTAAGAGCCAATATAAAGCCTATTTTGAAAATTATCAACAGAAATTACCAACTACAGATCAATTTCTTTAAGAAATATAAACATCAAATGATATGCTTCAGTGCTGGCTCGAAGATTAAATTTATTACTTTCTGAATTGATACATATAGACCAAATCGGGTTTGTTAAAGGCCGTCACTCTAGTGATAATTCTCGTAGGATCATCGATTTATTTGAGTGTGCACAAATGACAGGGACGCCCCTACTGACCCTATCGAGTGCTGTGCAGAAAGGCAGACAATTAAAACCAGCTGCCTAATATTGTGTAGGTCCCCCTTGTGCTGTCAAAAGAGCTCTAATGCGTCAACTCCACAAAACCTCTGAACATGTTCTGTGGTATCTGGAATCAAGACATTAGCAGCATTCTTTAAGTCCTGCAAGTTGCAAGGTGGGGCCTCCATAGATCTGATTGCTTGTTCCAGCACATCCCACAGGTTCTCAATCGGATTTACTGAACAATTTTTGCAGTGTGGCCGGGTGCAGGGTAGCAGTGTGCATTAGCCTGCCATCAGGAACACCATTACATGACGAGATGTACAATCTCTAGGTAGGTGGTTCGTGTCAAGGTAACCTTCCCCATTAATGCCAGGACCCAAGGTTGTCGAGAGACACTGCCTCTGCTGGCCTGCTTTCTTCCCCTATTGCATCCTGAAGTAATCTCTTCCCCATGTAAAAGACGCACATACATCTGGCATTCACCTGATCTAAAAGAAATGTGATTATTCAGACCAGGCAACCTTCTTCCATTGCTTCATGGTCCAGTTCTGATGTTTATATCCCCATTGAAGGAGCTTTCGGCAGTGGACAGGAGTCATCATGGGCACTCTGACCAGTCTGAGGCTACATAGTCCCCTACTCAGCAAACTGCAATGCACTGTGTGTCATGGGTGTTCGCAGGAATTATTTGGGGAGGGGCATAATTGTAATGTCAACCATGCTCGGCCTCTTTTTGCAGCGCTGGACTGGGCATTCAAAGCAGCCCTGGAAAACAATGTATGCCAGCCCCATAAATAATTGTGGCATGTAGTGTATGTATATATTATTAGTATGTTTCTTTTTCTAATTAAAAATACTGGTTCTGTCAGTGTAAATAATGTAATTATACAGTAAGCATACTCACATGCAGACATAGATAATCTCACTGACACAAGCACACACACACAGACAAACAATCTCATTGATACACATAAGCTCATTGACATAGAAATACAAGCTCACTGATACACACAAATAGCTTCACTGATAGACAATCTCCCTGACACACAGACAAGCTTACTGGTACATACACACAACGTTAGTACAAACTCTGACACTCACACAAGATTACTACAGACAAACTCATTGGTATACAAACACAAACTTACTACAGGCAGGCTTACTGACACACACACGTTCACTACAGACAAGTTTGCTGTCACACACATGCTCCCACTGACACACACAAAAGCTTGCTGACACACACACACACACACACACACGCTCACTACAGAAAAGCTCACTGACACACACATGATCACTACAAACTTACTGACACAGACACATGCTCACTACAGAAAAGCTTGCTGACACACATGCTCACTACAGACAAACTCACTGACATACACACGTGCTCACTGACAGATATGCACATGCTCACTACAGACATGCTCACTGACATACACAGGCTTACTGCAGAAAAGTTAGCAGACACACACAAGCTCGCTTACACATAAGCTCACTGACACACACATGCTCTCTACAGAAAGGCACACTGACACACACACATGCTCACCGCAGAAAAGTTCACTGACACACATGATCATTTTATACAAACTCACCGACACACACAAGCTTACTGAAACACACACAAGCTCATTGACACACATACACATGCTCACTACAGACAAACTCACTGACATACATATGCTCCTTATAGACAAACTCACTGACACATACATGCTCACTACAAACAAGCTCACTGACACACACCCATGTTCACTACAGAAAAGCTCACCGACACACACAAGCTCACTAACACACACAAGCTTGCTTACACATAAGCTCTCTGACACACACACACACAAGCTCATTGACACACATACACATGCTCACTACAGACAACCTTGCTGACACACACATGCTCACTACAAGCTCACTGACACACACATGCTCACTACAGACAAGCATACTGACACACATGGTCACTACAAACTCTCTCTCAAACACACACACACAGACAAACACACATATACAAACTCACTCACTAGCAGGCACACACACACAATTACTGTCATGGGCTGAACCTTACCTGTCACAAAAGGCTGTGAGAGACTGAGAGCCTTGGGGAGGAGGTCTCCATGTTCTGTGGTCTTCATTTTGGCAGCAGCGTGAGTGTGGGGTGGAGCTTCTGAGGGGTGTGGCTTGCTTGCAGGATGCAGGACCTGACTGCAGTGGAGAAGAATAGAGTCACAAAAATGGTGGGGATTCAGAAGGGAGCCTCACAGTGCTCCTTTTGGCCCCCCGGCAGCCTAAATGTGGCCCCATGCACCTCTCTACAGCCCCCAACACCTCCCTCCTTCTTTCCCTCGGACTGAGCTGTCACAGACCGAGGAAAATTGCCTGTGAGGAGGGAGCAAGTTGAGGGGGGGGTTGCAAATGCTCCTTCTTGACCCCTCCTGTGGACACCAATGCTGTGTGTTCTGACATATTTCTATCACGGCCAGCATTAAGAATTTCAGCAATATGAGCTACAGTAGCTTTTCTGTGGAAGGCTAGCCTTTGATCCCCACATGCATCAATGAACCTTGGCAACCAAGACCCTGATGCTAGTTCACCGGTTGTCCTTCTTTGCACCACTAACCACTGCATGCTGGGAATATCCCCCAAGACGGCAGTGTTCGAGATGCTCTGACCCAGTCGTCTAGCCATCATTACTTGGCCCTTGTCAAAGTCACTCAGGTATTTTCGTTTGCCCATTTTTTCATGCTTCCAACATATGAAATTCAAGAATTGACTGTTTACTTCTGCCTCATATATCCCACCTTGCTTGACAGGTGCCATTGTAACAATATAATCAATGTTATTCACTTCACCTGTCAGTGGTTTTAGAGTTGTGGCTGATCAGTGTTTGGTAGTCAGTCATTATTCTATATGCGGTGCATACCTTACATGTGAGAATAATTGGCAATTAAAGCAAAACATTTTGTTTATTTAAGTGTAATAATATTAGGGGCTCTTGTGTTGTGCTAAATCATTTGCATTTCATTGTGGATAAAATCTCTAATGATGAATGTTCTGTTTCTGGCATGCAAAGCTTTGTGTTCTGTTTTAAGTCACCACTACAGGACACAAGTTTGAATCTAGGAAAATATTTGAGTTACTTACAATAACGCTGCAGGCTTTGCCAAAATATTCAGTCAAAAGGTGATGCCAATTTTATGATTAATGCATTGCTTTCTCTATGAACGGATGATGGTTATCATTGTGTACTTCATATATACTACCCATGTTTAACTTTTGGAATGAGTTATGGTTAACAGCAATTCTTATTTTGGCCAAAATACACAACATTGATGAAAATTATGCACATTAGTATAAAGGATTTATTTGGCAATCAATTTTCATGTTTATAGTGGAGAATGAAGGATAATATGCTTGATCGTACATCAGTAAAAAGAGATTTAGGACTCGAGCAGATGATCATGAATACTACTTCTTGGCTATAAATAAAATTATTATTATTATGTATTGATAAAACATTGTATTGCTTTAAGTTCTGAACAACTAGTGGTAATTATGGTTTTTGGGTTTTTTTACGGACAAAAGAAAAAAAATATATAAATATATACATATTCAACTGTTTATAGTGTTTTTAAAATTAATTTATTTATTTAAATTCTTTATTTAAGAGATCATACAAGTACAACTCGGTACAATATTCATAATACGTCTTTGAATTACACTGTATGATAAGGAGAAGGCATGAACTTATAAAACCAAAATATATGAAAACTGATCTACATAACACATCAAGAACAACCCCTTCTCAGTCATCATAACATCATAGATTCTGAAAGTAAGTTCTTCGGAGTCAAGAATCCAATGGCTCGTGGATACCTGTTCTTCCGAGTTATACCACACTCCACATATGAGGCCTAGCCTGGAAGGCAGCCTGGTTGCCGGGAGAAGAGGCCAATCTCCCAACACAGAGACCATTTAGAGCAGCAACTCTCCTGATGCCTTCAACCCCCACTCTGGACCAGTGGGAGTATCACGGTCCCCACTAAGGAAAATGACTTACCTTCAACAGAATAATATTTTGCCAGAACAAAGAACAAAAACATGGCTAAGATGGCCGCCGAGCCACAACCTCCACAGTTTTGAAAAGACCTGGTGACCCAGTCCTTGAGAGAGTGCTTTGAGGCTCAGTTTGACTGCATCTGCCAAGTGTTCTGGATGCACTTAGAACACAGACCTCTCCTCCATGCTCTACCTGCTCTACCGGAGAATGCAGCAAAAGTGTTAGTTCACCTATCTGTCTCTGGGGACCACAAGGAGGTCCACCTTACTGCCAGAATTACCAGAACACTCTCCAGAAACTAGAGCATCTTGGTGCCTGTTTTAATGCCGATTTGAGAGAGAAGACCCTTCAGGTGAGAGACAGGCTCCCCTTCAGGCCTGCGATTGGGAGGACGGCACCAATAGGCGGATATGGGATGCTGTATGCACTTGGGCTCAAGAAAGAGCCAAGTCTGATCCTAAGCTCACATGGCCCACTAGAAGAATCCTGGAGGGGCAACAAGTTGTTATTGGACACAGCAATTACTTACCACTGATCGGGGTTCAGGCATAGGCTAAATGTCCCCCCTACACATATTCCATAGTCCTCATCTTAGGCCCTGGGCTGTGGCTCACCTTCCCAGTGATCCAATGCATGATTTATGTTAGCTTGGTTTATTTCCTTTATTTGATTTTGTCCTCTGGCCAACCCAACATTCTGGCGACACGAAGATGCCGATCTCCTATTCTACCACCCAGTGGCAATTTGTCTCATGTATTCGTGGATGCAGCAATGTGCATTGTCTGTTTTTTCTTATGAGCTTCACATCTCTGCTCCATACATCATCTATTTTACTGATACTAAAAACTGTGCAGTTTCTCTGAATGCCATGTTAATATTTCACACTGTCTGCTACTCCTATGCTTGTACCAGCTGTTGTGGCATTACAAGCTTATTTGTTACCATTCACACAACAACAAAAAAATATAAAAACATTTTTTTAAATCAATTTGGCCGAATCAACTTTTTACACTATGCATAAATCTAGAAGAGAGAAAGTGTGTGTACTGAAAAACTACCAGTGCAAAAATTGCGTTGGCACCCACCCTTCCAAGCGTTTTATCCCTCCAACCCCTCCATGTGTCTTATCCCCACCAGCCCCTCCATGTGTCTCATTCCCTCTCCCACTGCCCCTCCATGTATCTCATTCCCCTGCCCCAGCCCCTCCATATTTATCATTCCTTCCCCCCATCCCCTCCATGTTTGTGTCCCCCAGCCTCTCCTTGTGTCTCATTCCCTTTCCCCCAGCTCCACCAAGTACCTCATTACCTTCGCCGGCCCCTACATGTGTCGCATTGCCTCCACTCTAACCCTCCATGTGTCTCATCCCCATATCCCCCCAGCCCCTCCATGTGTCTCATTCCCTCCCCCAGGCCCTCATTAAATATTACATTGTGACTTCCAGCATAGGTAACAGTTTCGGTACTCGAATGCATGTTTGTGTCACTAACCCATATTTCCTCTTAAAAGAAAGTTGAGTAACTTTTAAAGTGAACTGAAAAGGAACATAAGATGTAACAAGAAAAGATAAGAAGGCAGAAAGAGAAAAGACAATGAGTAAAAAGATGTGGCGCCACTAGGCCGAGGACCAAAAACCTCACAACAGGCCCGAGGATTCTCAATTTCTCATTGTCTGTAAATAGATTCCCAAGGGAGCCTCTTCTAAAAGGAGGGGAGGGTTTGTTTTAATTGAGCAGTAAGTTTATCCATTAGGAAATTGTCTTTGATTTTAGCTAAGACCTTTCTCTAGAGAGGATGACCGCAGGCAACTGTTAATAGTTTTTTGTTCCCTAGGGCTCAATCCCTCTGTTGGTCTAGATAACAGGTACATCTAGGTGGATCCAGGCACAATAGTCTATGGAAACTAGCTGCTAAATGGGATATCACATCCTTCCAGAATTTAAGATGCCCTACACAAATCCATGCAAATCCCTTTATTCCTATATAATTAACAGCAGTTGTCACGTCAGTTTGGGTTTTTCCCATATAAAATAATTTCACTGCTGTGATATACCAGCAAAATATTGTTTTATATGATTGCTCTTGGAATGTAAAACTTGTGGAGGTTTTAGCGCAGGACTTCTCCAGCTCATCACCCAACCCCAATTCCCTTAATGCTATATATCTAAACATACAACACTAATTAGAGGTAATTAGAGGTCGAGCTCGGATGGGCATAGAGCTAACAAATTTCCTGACTATCATGTCAGGCAAAAAAGCACTATTTTTAGAAAGTTGTCAATGATCAGGGACAGGAGTCCAGGAAAGGAGTCCAGGAAAGGTTTAGTATGCAAGAGTGCCCTTTGGCACCCATATGTAAAATGGAGGTAAACACAAACCCATCAGTAGGTATTCTAAATTAATCCAAATCCATTCTTCAGTGGGGATTGCCACATGATCACTTGGGCTAATTGGGCTGAGAGATAATATATAATCTGCTGGAGGAGTGTGGAAGCTGGCCTCTTGCCCACTGACTATGGTTCAGGTCTGAGACCCTGTTCGGCACGTTCCCTTCTCACGAATGGAATGGAACGCTAGCTCTTTGGCAGCCGTTCGCATGAACAAATACCCGAATGGTCCTCAGCTGAACTAATTTCAGCATTAGGACTTTGTGGTTCCCGGTCACCTCAGCTGTACTTGACCACTAATGTTATGGAACTGTTTCGCTAGGTGACCTTGCAGTTCCTGGACAACTTGGTCCAGGGTTTTGAACCACTTTGTGACCCGCAGGGAGAGTGCTTTTTGGAGAGAAGATGCCTGGGACTAAGGAGAACAAACGCTCCCTTAGAGCCAGGCTGAGCACCCTGTATTTTGGCCACAGGAGCTCCCGAAAGTTGACCAACAAAAGCACTAAATGCTCTGGAACTATTTGGGGCTAGGATCACGTGTGCAGCCAGTCAGAACTTTGCCCCTGTGGCATTTTTGGACAACTTGGGCACTCAGATCAGGGCTCTCTGGGGATGTAGGACATGTGGGGTTATTGTATGTTTTTATGTATATATTTATTATGTTTTGGGGTACTTTTATGTTTTTATGGTTTTTATGTTTGGCTCTCTGTATCTGGGAGATAATTAACTTATCGTTATTTAATTCAATTATTTCCCAGGCACAAGGATTCCTGGGAGGGGCTTGTATTGAATTGTTTGAGACCCCCTGTGGTCTGTGCATAAAAGGCCGAGTTTGGCTCATTAAAATCAGTTGTACTCCCAGAACTGTGTCATCTAGTTACTGGGAGGGAAAGGGCTATTCAATACTTAGCATCTGGAATAGCTGAGGTTTCCCCTGGTTGCAGCTAGGAAGTGATCCTGGGCGGAGATACCCACTACAGGGAGCTCTGCTACACTACAGGGAGTGCAGAATTATTAGGCAAATGAGTATTTTGACCACATCATCCTCTTTATGCATGTTGTCTTACTCCAAGCTGTATAGGCTCGAAAGCCTACTACCAATTAAGCATATTAGGTGATGTGCATCTCTGTAATGAGAAGGGGTGTGGTCTAATGACATCAACACCCTATATCAGGTGTGCATAATTATTAGGCAACTTCCTTTCCTTTGGCAAAATGGGTCAAAAGAAGGACTTGACAGGCTCAGAAAAGTCAAAAATAGTGAGATATCTTGCAGAGGGATGCAGCACTCTTAAAATTGCAAAGCTTCTGAAGTGTGATCATCGAACAATCAAGCATTTCATTCAAAATAGTCAACAGGGTCGCAAGAAGTGTGTGGAAAAACAAAGGCGCAAAATAACTGCCCATGAACTGAGAAAAGTCAAGCGTGCAGCTGCCACGATGCCACTTGCCACCAGTTTGGCCATATTTCAG